TCCATGCACTAACATGACACCTCACATTAATGAAGAGAAGAGCAAAGTATACCCTTTCTAGCCCATAAGAAAAGTAATAAAAACAAAAATAAAATGAGGAATAACGAGTCATTTTATAATAAGTTAGGAAGATTGTAGTTACGGTTTTATTCTAAGAACTAATGTAATTTATCAATTTCATTTTGAGAATTAAGCATAGGTGACAAACTGGCTCAATAAATGGACTTCTTTATCTTAATAAAGTTAAAAATAAATAAAAGTGATATTAATTACTGCTGAAGTCCCCAAACTAATGATATACTTAACAATGACTTTACTGCAAAAGCCAATTCGTGAACAGTATGAAAGCCTTTTGGTATTCGTATGGACTAGTTTCAGATACATAGGAACGGGCAAGCAGGGAAACATTAACCACACAGCTAAATTAAAATGAAATTCATTCTTACAGTATTCCCTAAAAATGTTATTCCTATAGCACTTCAAGAAAATGGAAGATGTGTGACATTCCAGTAGTTAGTACACGATATGTTCAGAACAGAGATAGTTATACTTTCTTATTGATATAAATATGCGTCTAAACTTGCCTTTGTTTTCATTACCAGATGTACTCTGATGATTTTTCTCACCTTTATGACTTTAAAATTAGCTACTAAAAAATTTGCAGTTGCAGTTTAAGAGGTTTTCTGTCTTAAACCACAAACACTACTGCAAGAATGCATCCATGAAAATACATCTTATGCACAATATACATAATAACATTGCTTTCACACAATGGTAAAGGAGAGAACAAAAGGCACATAAAGTACATGCTACCATTCATGAATACAATACTTTCAGAAATATTCTGACAAAGAAAGTGGCAAAAATTATGGTATGTAAACATAATAGGGGCTTAAAAACACCAAAATGAAGTGTCTTCATTCCATTTAGAAGGAGGACTCTTTGGGGAGAAATTAGGATTGTCAATAAATAGCGTAATACTGAGCTGGGTTGAAGATGAAGCTACAGTTAATTGTTTTTAATTTAGAAAAATGTTTATGGATAAATTATAATAGTTTCTAAAAGTTTCAAGAACTAAAATTTTGTAATTTATATTCTGATCTATATTTACTTGTAATTTACCTCTAAAAAATCAAAATTGTTGAGAGAAGAGACTAGAACTTCAATGAACCTACACTCAGTGAAATACAGTGTTTTAGTAGGTACCCAAAAAACATTTTTGAGTAAATATATGAACTGAATGTAAGGCTGGGGTAAAGGATAAGTATAAATCTTAGTGAGAGGCATTGTCTATAACTTCAGTTTGATTTAAACAATAAGGAGAATGTTCAAACGGGTAAATTAAATACCCTGATAATTTACCTAGCTAGCTCATGTAATATCTTTCCACTAATAAATTTAAGTAATTATTTTAAAATTAGTACTGAACAATCTGTTCTTTATTCTGTATTTATAAATTTGGAGCCTAAAGTCTTACGTGAAATAGAAAAGTCATACTTCTAAAACATTTGATTATTTATTTTGGACACACAGTCAAACACACCTGCCTTGACCTCTTCACCCTGCTTTTCTCCCCCCTGCTCTTCCACATGCTCAGTTACTTCATTAACTTCTGTATATGCAAAAGTAAAAGTAAAGAAAAGGATAAGACCAGATATGTACATCTGTTACTCTTAAGTAAAACAAAACAACAAATTTCAAATTATTCATGATATGAGTGATAATAAGGAGACAAACAGATTATTTTTAATGAGTTTCTGACATGTTATGAAAGCACATAAGTATACTGTTAATAAATTATCTTACTGTCTCCTTTTATGATAACTTTGATTTAAAAAAGAAATTGTGGCCCGTGAGTATTTGTAATATGTAATATAACTGTAAGACAGGCAAAATACTTCATCTATAAACTTGATATACTCTTAGAAAAATAATACTATATAACTTTTCTTCTAGAGAAACAAAAAATAATATTATAAACTCATTTTTATTTTTATAAAATGCCAGCACATCAAAGTTAGGGGTAAATTAAAAATAATAACGCCTTACGGTTGTTTAGTACATTGTACTTTCATTATATTGTTTCGATTTTCTCTGACTCTCAGACAAAAAGAAGATGACTAATACTGTACCACTGTCAAGACCAACATATATAAGGTTTTAAATTAATTAACAGACTAAAATATATCCCAGGTCAAAAGGAATTAAATTAGGACTTGTTCATTTTTCAGCTATTGAACAGGATCAGAAAATAAACATGTCATTTCTTTGATTCTAAAACAGTGTCACAAAATTATAAAGTCTGAAAACTTTTTAAGAGATAATCCAAACATAATTCAGTTTAGACCATTAATCCATAGTCAATTTTGGGTTATACCTTTAACTTCAGTTAGAAGCTGAAGACTTCTAAAGGAGATATTATATATTGCCTTTAAAGCTAAAGAAAAGATACAATCATGTTTCCGCTGGAGTCTTCATATCAATATTTATGAAAACACTGCTAAAATCATTCATACTTTTAAGCAAAACAAAACAACCAAAACTCCCCAAATCCTTTTATTTCCTACTGGAAAGAATAAGAGAGGTTTTTGACTCTCCTCTCTTTTATTTATAAAAATGGAAAAGTCACAATTAGAGACATTATAGGAAAACTGTGGTTTTTATAGATTCTATAGGGCAAAACCAGATAGAAAATTGACTGTTTGGTGACAAGCCCATGAAAAACTTCCCTGACCTTCAATATCAGCATTTTTTTTAAAATAACAGCTTTAGTGTCAGTTTTTTTGGTATATTTATTATTACAAAGAATGGGACAACTAATATCTCAATGGACTATTGCTACAGAAGATATTAAAACTGAATTTAGAAAAAAATATGGCATGAATTATGTTTCTGACTTCATATTCCAACAAATGATGCCAAAACTCTATCTTTAAAAATTGTGGGGAGGAGACAAAAGATTCTGTATGTATTACAGAACTTTCCTTATGGAAAGTACTTTTAAAATTATACACTCCCATTTTTACGTAAATAATTGACAACTATAGAAATGCTAGTATCTTTTTATCAGGCTGTATAACAGACCATTAGTCACGATAGCACTGAGTTGTTTACAATTATAGTTCACAGTACATAGTAAATAAAAAGGACCACAAAATAGGAGTTGATAAATCATTCAGCTACAACTAACAAGATCACAACTTGTTCTAAGTTATGTAAGGCAATAAAAGTACTGCTGCTCAAATGCAATGCACTTAAAAATATGTTACAAATATGAATTTTACTATAAACATATATAGAATTACAAGATTATTTTAATGGTACTTTTTACACTATTTGAAGTAGCTTTTCAATTTGTAAATAAATATTTCATGCATTCATTCAACAACTCTTTACTGAAGGCCTATAATGTGCCAGGCATTATTCTATGTGCTGGAGATTCATCAGTAAATAAAACAGTTAACAATTCTTCAAAGTTACAAAGTCAATTGCAGAATTCTATAATCAGCAGAGGAATTTTTCCTGTCCTGGTAAATGTATGACACTCCATATATCATGATTCAATATTTTCTCTTGAGTCATAATGTAGCACTGACAATCAAACTGTACATATTTAACTTTGTTACACTATAAACAGTCTTGCTACAACATGAAAAATGATGCAGGAAATACAAAGCACAATCACTATCTAATGCAATAACTTTCTTTTCTAGAAAGCCAAATTTAATAATTGAAAGATCATCATAAATACAAAATGAAATATATGATGATAAATATAACTAGACTAGGTGTACATCCTCAATGACATAAACACAGACTGCAATTGATATCTTTGGTTAAAGTCTTACACAAAACATCAAATTCTATTTAAAAAGCAAATTTTTTAAAAAAGAAAATTTTACCTTGTGATTTAAAAGAAGTTAAATTCTTTGCATTCTTACTTGATTGAATCAAAAAATTTAACTCCTTTGTATATTTTCCAAGTAAGACAAAAGTCAAATACTTTACTGGAATCATAAAACAAAGTAATTTTACTGTAATAAAGGTCTATACAGTGGAGGGACATCAATTGCAGTTGGGTTTATTTTTGCTCACATAACCCCTAAAAAGGCTGTCAGCACAAAACAAACCCTCCTTTATGTACAGACCTTCATAAGGTTCTATCTCCTTGACTCCATTGTCTAGGAAAAACAAAATAATAAAACAAAAAAGGGAACCAAAGCACAGGGGTTAAAAACAACAGAAATTTCCAAAGGCACAGAATGTATCATCTATTAAAGAAAAGTTAAATGGTGACTTAAATGTGTTTGTTGGTTTGTTTGTTTTGGTAAAGCACATCCAATTACCAAATAAAGGGACCATTTTTTAAAATGACATTAAAAATTATTATATTTTATCATCCATGCTTTTAGAGGCCCTTTATCCAAGAATTTACAGATGTCTGGGGAGTACGTTCATCTGTGTGTAAGCAAATAGTGCTTCTTATGCAAAAATTTGAAAGTATTAAAGATATCAGTACAACATGCATCTTTCTTGTATATTCATGATTACCTTTTTCTGGTACTCCAGTTTTGAGAAGGATCACCATTGTTGTGCATCAGCTAACCAGTCCTTTGCAGTGTGTGAAAATTGATTTGGCTAGTTACTAATAAACTTTCTGTAACTATCAACAATTACATAAACTTAGTTGTAGCAAAGAAACATCACCCAACTGCTTATTTAAGAGCATTAAGTTTACTTCTTAAAACGCATTTATTAAAGTTTGAAAAATGTGCAAGAGCAATAATGATAGGTTATTTTTGCCTGCAAAGATTATAAAATTTAAATGCAAAATACATAATATTTATAAATATATTTATAAATATAACTACTAGCAAATGCAGCTAAGATATTCCACTGACAAAAGAAGAAAGCTAACACAAAGGTAGTAAAAAAGAATCTTGATTCACCTTAGCTTCCATGGGTATTTCCTATATGACACAAATAGAAATAAAACTTACTTCTCTCCAATGTTCCCTTTGGTGGAAGTTGTGGGAGTTGACGGCCCCTTCGTCCTGCCACTGGAGTACTTGATGGGCTTGTTTGGACAGACCCAGTACGAGGGTGAGACCTACAAGATACATCATTAATATTCATTTTTCAATAGAATGAGTTAAAACACTTTTAACACATTTGGTTCATATGACAGCTGTATGGTGCAATTTTAAAGAGGTTTAGCTGCTGATTAAAAGGTTAGGAAAGTAGGACAAAATATGGATATTTGAATGATTATCTAAATAGCAAAAGATGTTTATACTTTTATGTAATATGCATACATACACAGATACATGCACACAAAACCCTACAGTAAAATCCATGGAATTATTAATGTAGATCAGTATTCTATCCATATGAAAGCAAGAAGAGAATTCTGCAGCTCAAAAAAATGAAAGGTAATGCTTACATTTCTTTCTACCAGATTTCAAATTCTTAACACTAACCTCCCTCCCTTGATCCTAAGAGATTTTTGCTCAGGCTTATATTAGATATCCCTTTATTAGAAATTATCTCACAAGACTACAAATAAAACCCTGAACAGTTCAAAATTCAGCTAAAGAAGATATTGGTTAATACATGATATTAGTATTGATAGAAAGAAACTAAAAATCTAGTTTTATTTATTGTCATTATGATGATTATTCCAAAAGTGATGTCTAATGGACACAAACAATTTCTCATTCTGTAGAACATGAGAGTCATGAGGTGCATTATGTGGGGATTTACCCAGGACTCCTGATAAATGAGAAATCACAAAACAAATGAGGTCAGGACAGTTAATAAACAAATTACAATGGTAGTCACACACTATTATATCCGCTGAATATAAATAGTGTGCTTACACTGAAAAGGTTAGTGTCGATTGTTATTAGTGATCAGCCAAGGATGATAGAAGAGACCACTTAGCTGCTGGGAAAGTAAAATGGTGTGCTGGTGGGGCAAAGGGGAAGTTAGTCCGATTGATTTATCTTTCACCTCGATAAGGCAGGTGAAGGAGGGGCAGATCTTCCAGTCATTAATGAAGGCATCGACCTCATGAGGTTTGTATCAGGACGTTCAGTGGATCGGGAGCGGGTGGCTGTCCGCTCTAGGAGAGGCCGTTGTTCTGTTGATCTGGATCTGTGATATGGCTGTCTATCTGCTGCTTCACAATCCCTGAAACGTTAGTCAAAAAGCAGCTCAGTTGATCTTTAGTGCCCTTCTGCTATTTTGTTATGATGCATCAAACTGATTTTGAAAAAGGTAATTGTTTAAAATTATTGAGTATGGAAAAAAAATGTTCTCTTCCCCAACGTATTCTGAGTAAATTCTCACTAAACTTCGTAAGAACTTTTAAGGAACCAACATCTGCCTTTAATAGCAATTCCCAGTGAAGACAATAGGAGTTGCTCAGTTATAATCAAAACAAAACTGTTTTCCAAAGTGAATTCTCTAAATGGAACATGTGAAATATGTGAAGTATTCTAATGTTTGAAAAGAATTCTTTGACTTTTCGTAACATTTTCAAAAGAGAAAAGAAAACCATAAAAGCACTAATTCTCAAGTCCCTAGGCCTGTTTATTAGTATACCAACTAAGATATAAAATGGCTGTCAGCACAATCATCGTGTATTGATACACCTAAACATTCAAACAGCAGAATCAAAATGTTACGAGAAAGCTGTGCAACTTTGCAGTCTGTAGCCATATTTAAACATGGTCCAAGGCTTCCCTGGTGGCGCAGTGGTTGAGAGTCCGCCTGCCGATGCAGGGGACACGGGTTCGTGCCCCGGTCCAGGAAGATCCCACATGCCGCAGAGCGACTAGGCCCATGAGCCATGGCCGCTGAGCCTGCGCGTCCAGAGCCTGTGCTCCGCAACGGGAGAGGCCACAGCAGTGAGAGGCCCGCGTACCGCAAAAAAAAAAAAAAAAACGAAAAACAAAAACAAAAAAACATGGTCCACAAGAAAAATCACTGTATAGAAAAGGAGTTAATCAACCAATCTATGCCATTTATCTCAGTGCAGTTTAGCGATGCCAACCAACACAATTCAGGATGGGTATTAATTGATTGAAATAATAATGGTTCTGAAACAATGTGATTTCACACAATTTGACCACAAATAAATCTAACATCAAAACCTAATCCTTCTTGAAAGAAGCAGACTTAAATGAATAACCTATCAATACTAATTTTTGTATCTCTGGAGTCTAGCATAATGCTTTTACATCTAACATGTAATCAGTAAATGTCTCCTAACACCAGCCCCACTATCTATGGAACAACCCAAAAAACACTAGCTTTGGCTCTAGAACTCCAAAGTAACACATACTCCAAAGTATACTTCAAATGAAACTATTATCCCCGCACGTAGTTGTAACCACAGCAATGGAAATGTTTATATATTATAGACAGTAAAGAAAGCAGTAGTCTCCCTCAAGATTAATGTATTAAGGACTTCCACTTTACCTATAAATTCTCTCAATCTTATTTTTGATAATGAAAAATGCAAGCAATTAAAGAAAAATAAGAAAAGAAATGACAATTTCCCAAATGTAAGTAATTACGTGGCATATTGGACCAGTAGGCATTAGATTAGATGACTTTAGGAACTGGATACTGGATTTACTCTACAACGTTACCTTGTGATTATCTTACACTTTCAATTCATAGGGTAACATGTAAGGCAAATAATTTTTTAACTATTTTTAAGTCCATGTACTATAATATGATTGATTTCTTAAGAATTTAGTTTTTTTATAAGTGTATCCAGAATACGTGAAAAGAAGCTGAGATTAAATGTAAATACATATACAATATTCAATTACTAGTCAAAGAGAGAAATGAAAAGGCAACCTGATAGAGTAAGAAATCATAATTCTATTTTTGTTCCTGAAAAACTATTTTAGAAAGAACACTCCTCTTTAGAAATAAATATGCTCAGGACTTCCCTCGTGGCATAGTGGTTAAGAATCTGCCTGCCAATGTAGGGGATACAGGTTTGATCCCTGGGCCGGGAAGATCCCACATGCCGCGGAGCAAATAGGCCCATGCACCACAACTACTGAGCCTGAGCTCTAGAGTTCGCGAGCCACAACTATTGAGCCCACGTGCCACAACTACTGAAGCCCACGTGCCTAGAGTCCACACAGTGCAATGAAGAGTAGCCCCGCTCACTGCAACTAGAGAAAGCCCATGCACAGCAACAAAGACCCAATGCAGCCCAAAATAAATAAATAAATTCATTAAAAAAAAAAAAGAGGGCTTTCCTGGTGGCGCAGTGGTTGAGAGTCCGCCTGCCGATGCAGGGGACACGGGTTCGTGCCCCGGTCCGGGAAGATCCCACATGCCGTGGAGCGGCTAGGCCCGTGAGCCATGGCCGCTGAGCCTGCGCGTCCGGAGCCTGTGCTCCGCAACGGGAGAGGCCACAGCAGTGAGAGGCCCGCGTACCGCAAAAAAAAAAAAAAAGAAAGAAAAAAAAAAGAAATAAATAAATATGCTCAATATTTGTTAAATGTTGTTGGTGTACATATCTTTGAATATATTCAACACAATAGGTAACCAGAATCAAAGGGATGTATATACCTTAGATTCCTTAAAACCTATTTTTGGAAAGTACCAATCTTTAATTTATTTTCATATTTCCTATTATCTTAAATTAGTAATAAACTTATTTCATTACATAACATGTAGTAACACAACTTTCTGGAATATCTATGACTATCCCAACAGAAAATTAAGCTAATATTTCACTTGTTTATGCAAAATTTGATTTATTCTGATTCCACCAAGTAATTTTTCCGAGTGGAACGTGAAATATCAGGATATACACTTACACTTCTTTGACACTATATTTTAATAATTGAAATACATAATCATGAGTGAAATCCAGAGAATTATTTCAAATGTGTTGCTAAGTTCTATGTCCTTGAAAGGATACTATTATTTTTACAGCAAACAGGTCACTCTTTAGGAAATATCCCTTAAAAAAACTCTTTAGTGAAAACATTGTTTGAAGATTATAATCAATGTTTTAAATTTTACTTATATTTTCTTTCCATATTCATCAATAATATGAATTATATGATTTCCATAGTGTGAAATGAAAATTGTTTAATAAGTGGAACATGACAAGAACCACAGTAGAAGGTAGAAATTTACTGAAATGTTCCACCACAGTTAAGGGGAGGGGAAAGCTATCATATTTTAAACTTTGATAACACAGTAGAAGGTCAAGATAGGCTCCTGCTCCCACAGTTGGGTAAGAAAAGGTCTTACTAGGTGAGAACTAAGATTATTGCTGAGAAAATTGAAAGCAGCAATGCCTAAGTCTCATATATAATACCCAGCTTCATAGCAGGTTCTTTAAGGAACTGAGATATAAAACTTGCCAACTTCCACCCAAATTCTTAGTGAGTTTTAATTTTAAGGTAAGAACTTATAAATAATTAATTTTGAATAGTAGCAACTGAGGCATGGGAAATAATAGATAACCGTTTGCAAGGCATAAAATATTTAAGTGTTTACCTGGGTTTCTGAATTTGGGGTCTATCTTTCAATGTAAATAGTTTCCTTTGTGATCCTACTTATTTACTTTATTTTACCTTATGTATTACAAAATATTATTCTAAAAAGGGTAAACAGATTTTACAAGACTGACAAAATCAAGCCATATACAAGTTAGGAAACACTGACCTGTATATTTAAATCTTTCTTAGGTAAATAATTTGGTTGTCTTTTAAAAGTGATTTAATATCTGTCAGAATTCTATTCTTAAATAGTTTACATTTTCTGATATATATGTTTATAATAGTTCAGAGTTTGTATGTGCCATTTACCTGGATAGATACAGATTATAGCTCTGCTTATTTAGTGGCTGCTATTCCAAACTGCAAGCATTTGCAGAGGATACTCCACAAATAGAGCTAATTCATATTTTTTTAAACCACAGAATTTATTTTCTTACAGCTCTGGAGCCTGGAAGTTCAAGATCAAGTAGTTGGCAGGGTTGGTTTCTCCTGAAACTTCTCTCCTCGGCTGGTACATGGCTGTCTTCTCCCTGTGTCTTCACAACATCTTTTTTTTTTTTAACATCTTTACTGGAGTATAATTGCTTTACAATGGTGTGTTAGCTTCTGCTTTATATCAAAGTGAATCAGCTATACATATACATATATCTCCATATCTCCTCCCTCTTGCGTCTCCCTCCCACCCTCCGAATCTCACCCCTCTAGGTGGTCACAAAGCACTGAGCTGATCTCCCTGTGCTATGGGGCTGCTTCCCACTAGCTATCTATTTTACATTTGGTAGTGTATATATGTCCATGTCACTCTCTCACTTTGTCCCAGCTTACCCTTCCCCCTCCCCATGTCCTCAAGTTCATTCTCTATGTCTGTGTCTTTATTCCTGTCCTGCCCCTAGGTTCTTCAGAACCATTTTTTTTTCTTTTTAGATTCCATATATATGTGTTAGCATACGGTATTTGTTTTTCTCTTTCTGACTTACTTCACTGTGTATGACAGACTCTAGGTCCATCCACCTCACTACAAATAACTCAATTTCGTTTCTTTTTATGGCTGAGTAATATTCCATTGTATATATGTGCCACATCTTTATCCATTCACCTGTCGATGGACACTTAGGTTGCTTCCATGTCCTGGCTATTGTAAATAGAGCTGCAATAAACATTGTGGTACATGACTCTTTTTGAATTATATTGACTGACACTATTGAAACAAGACCCAGTATTGTAACAACCCAGCTTTAAAAGCATATGATAGTACATGCAGATTTGATGAGGATTTCTAAGGGAAAAATCATTTTATAATGATCAAGTGAAGTTGTACGTTTTCAATCATTTTTCCTCTCGTATAGTCGCCTTTGAAAGATTTTTTAATTTCCAGGTATCTGGCACAGCTTCCTACTTATTTCATCACCTTTGCTACTTACTTCTCCTAGTCTCAAAGTACATGAGAGTTATGCAGTGTAACAGAAAAGAATAGGCCAGTGAGCATTTTCTTTCCCTTGTATACAACCATCGCAATGATACAACTCCAGATCAACATAAGCTCAATGTAGACTATCTCTCTAAATACGATAGAAGAATACTAAAAAAATGAAAAACAAACATCACAGTGCTTCAAGGTATTATTCAGATATCAATGAAAATTGTCCT